ATAAGATTTGTGTATTTTGGGAAAAAATGTGAAAGCAAGATAAAGTGAGAATTGTAATAACTACTAGAGTTAAAAAAAAAAAGAATTTTGCAATAAAATTTCAAATAAAAATTACTAGAAAAAAGAATTTTGCAATAAATGAAGTTGTTTAATTTGCTGTAGTTTAACTAATTTACTGTAGTTTAACTAATTTGCTGTAGAATGGATTTGTAAATCATAAAATAAAATTAGGAAGGTACTGAGTAGCTTGTATTCGTTACCATTCATCTTTCCACAGTCAGCATATAATAAATGACCAGCTAATCAAAAATTATTTACTCTGATGGCCTTTATTTCTGTTTTGAGGAAGATGCTTTTAGTTCATCAGCTTCTTTTAAGTCTCTAACTCTACTGGCAAAATGACTGGAATCCTTTTAGCAAGAATGCTTGCATGCACTGCATTACTTTGGATTTGGCAGTTGACTTCAATTACTATTCCTGTCGCGATTTTCAAGGTAGAATATGATCTGTTGTCTGCCTAATGCTGCTGAAGGTGGGGCTGCAGTCTTTTCAGTTTGTTCAGCCATTGGTGAGACATTCCATTTTGGTGTCTTTTGTTAGATTCGGAGCAGAAAATGACTGGCATTAAATGGCAGTATATTATAAAAAGATGTTAAGAGCATACATTTCCATTCTTTGAAAGTTGCTAAGTTGCAGAGTATCAAAGAACCTGATGAATGCTCACTTTGTGTGGAGAATTATAATGCTGCTGTACCCCACATCCATCAGCTCAAAAACTCAGGCTCTAACGTGTTTTCAGTGAAGTCTTTTCTGTGGCAGCACTGTTGATAATTTCAGATTCATCGACTTGGTATGTCTAGTGAAATTAAAGATTTTGTAAGTCTGCATTTTACTAACATGCTAGTTCTTCTGATGTAGGGCAGAAAAATAACATTCTTTATTCCCACCATTTGTAGGTTTATAGTAAATGTCCATTSATTTTAAATAATTAGTTCTTATATTTTAATCCTAAAGGAAGCAGCAAGAAATAAGACGTGGAAATGCGTGAAAACACACAATAAATATGTAATTTTGACTACTCAGTGATGCACTGATCATCCRTCTCATTTCTAAAGTGCCTCTATATTTCTCATAGTATTTCTGTAATGAATAAATTGTGAAACTTGTCACTGTACATAATGTATTCACATCGTGACTGTAAATCCTTGCGTCGCAACACCACATTTATCATCTATCTTGGCATATTTACTGTAATATTTCTGACTTGGGCTCTGATTATACATAGGCTCTCATCACGGAGCCCCTTTGGATTTATGAAGTGGCAGCTTGGGTAGTGAAACAGTGCGCAGTTTTAAAGTTCACATACTGAGGGCTCTTTTTTTTTCTGCTTTGTGCAGATTTAGGCAATAAAGTGGTGTGTCTTTAGAAGGGCATTTAGCAGCTGCACAGGTTGCTGGTGGCCGGAGCGTGTGCTCACTGAGCCACGCTGAGGTGAGGCCCTTCCCAGATGAGTCCTAGATGAAGCCTTTATTTAGGCAGGTATTACAATAGAGTTGCTGCTACTATGAAGGAATGATCAATTAGATTATTTTGGATTTGTTCCATATTGATGGCTACTAGCATAATTTCTTTCCTTTCTACCGGTCTTGACATTATCAGGAGGACTCTGTCATTGCTGGGTTACGCTCAATATTGCAGCCTGCCTCCTAACTTTTGGCGTAAAGCAGGTGAACATATTTCCTCCAAACATACTGCTCTCACTGAGGCAGTGAAATAATGGAAACAGCAGAATATGTTAAATACCCTGTGTATCTCTAATGCTGAAGGCATTTTGTCCATTAGCTCCTAAATGTGCTGAAAATAAGAACACAAGMTATCTGCTGAAATTTTGGTGGAAATAGAACAAGCATAAAAGATTATTAAGAAGAAAGCAGTATTTCTTCTTCTCGTGGYTGCTGCCTCATAGGATGAGAGGATAATGCAGGCTGGCAGGGACCTCAGGAGGCCTCGTGGCCCTGCTGCCCGCGCAGCGGGATCAGTGCGGGCAGCTCCACTGGGTCCCCAGCCCCTTCTGCTGGGGTCTCGCACAGCCTGCCCGSACAGCTTGTTCACTGCTTCACTGATCTCACACGGCAAAAGCTTTCCCTTGTATCCAACAGGAATAACGTTGAGTTTCATTCTTGTTTCTTAGAGTTTGTTACCCAAGTACTAATGCTGTCGGTTTGTTTTTCTTCAGGTAAGAAATGTTGCCCTTTGTGGAGAAGCAACCAAACATACGGCTAGTGCTGGGACACTAGAAAATAAGACATTCTGGTCCAGTTCTTTGTGTTTAAATGACAAAAGTCTGMTGAGAGATCTCATTTCCCATTGCAGAAATGGCAGAAGCAAAGCACTTAGCCTTTTATAAATCATTTTCCTTAAACTTTGCCAGGATTTCAAAGTGGTTTTGAATAATTCAATATATATTGATGCCTTGAAGAGTTTCTTATATGTCGCATGTTGAAAAGATCCAGACAAAAAAGCAGATGAGCTTTAAAGGGATTCACCAATTACACTGGTAGTAGTGCTGCATGATTATCCTAATAGCATAACATCATCTCATAGGTGAACTATGTTGATGGATAAATTTAACCAAGTATTACTGAAAGGCGAGAACACACAAAAGGAACGAGAATATGAGGACTATCTATTTAATTCAGAGGGGTATTGGCCTGCTTGCTGTGCTTTACTGTCTTTTGGCAGTGTATTGAAACACTGGAAGTACTTAAAACACATGGGTGTATTCGTATCTCAGTGTGTAGGGGGAGAATGAATTGTGGTTTCTTGCCAAACACCTGCAGTGTGTGTGTGAGCTGCCTTTGCTTGTGTGCCTGACCTCATGGGCAAGCAACGTGCTGAGTAGTTTTCTTGTCCATTGGTTTCAAATGTTGAATGTGAGTTAGTGATTCTGCCAATTTCAACTTTTGTAAGTCTCATTATGGATATTACGCATGTTTGTGTTCTTCATCATAATCATACATTGGCTCAGTGACTTCTGATAATTTATAATTGCTAATTGCTAACCAGGTGGCATAGGACTGTAATAAACCACTTTTGTTCATTAGAGCAAGCAGTCTCAAATGTCATTGCCTTTTCATTTTTCAGTTGTGAGCTCAGAAATGTYGGAATCAAATACCATATTCCATATTTTGGTTGTCCTAATTCTAAAACTAGTAATGACTAAGTCATTTTCCAGATAGCTTTTAGAAATTATCAAATGTTTGCTCTTTTTCTTTGAATCTCATTCTGTATATATCTTGCTTAAATGAAAGAGCAGAACGTTTTCTTCAGTGAGATGCACTGCTGGAAAAGTCTACAGTTGGCAGGGCCTAGACCAACCTGCCAGCTCAGTGACAGGTCCTGTTTTGCTAGAAACTTTTTGAAATGATCTAGTTTCAATTGCTACTTATGATTTACTATTATAATTCTGATTTCTGATATATATTTCTGCTGTGGCTCCATGTTAAAATTCGTGGTTGACAAAAGCTTCTTGTATATCTGCAGCAAAGAAATAAAACCTACTGCATTCAYGATACCAGATCCTAGCTTCCTTTAGGTGCTTGCCTAGAAGAATAATGGAAATTTAATGTGTCTTTCCTATCTCATAAGGTCGGGACTTGAAAATTCCACCAGAGTTAGTGATCATACCTGAAAATAGTTTAATGAAATAAACTACTTATGGAGCCTATGAAAGGAAATAAAACCRCAGAAGAGAGTAGTATATCTGCTAGCACTCTGCAGGATTGGTTCATGATGCAAAGTTTACTGTTTTCCACTTCTAACAATTTCAGTGCTGTCAGAGGAGAGAAGTATTTGAACAGTATTCCTGTCCCTCCAGTTCCAGTAATGATCAGCCACTGGCGTTTGAGTGAAACTGAGCAGAAATATCTGTAGGCAGAAATATTTTTAAATATTAATTGTGCATTACATATCAAAAGATAAAAAGTTCATCATCAAATCTCTAACCCCTTTGGTTTGTGGCTTATACCAGAGAAGAATAAAGAAAAYGTCCTGCTTGGCCAGAGACTGGCACGAGGCAAGTGTCCGTAGTCCTGGGCCAAGTCTCTGCCTTACTGTGCCTGCAGGAGCAGGGTTTGTCTTCTGCCCTTGCTAACTGTTTTGCTGCTTGTACCATTTGTGGGTGGCACTTTCACCTATCACCAGACACACAGTAAATGAATATTAAAGATATTCTGTAAAAGAAATCGTAGAAAACTTTCCATTGGTCAGAAAGTCATTATCCATTTGAAAATATTTCTCATCTTGGAGCAAGAAAGCATTGCAYTAAGTTGTCAAAAGCACAGAAGTTTAGTTCAATTCTTTCCAAAGAGAAATCTTGCCAATTTTAGTTATGCCATAATCTTTGTAAGATTTTCCCCAAACTCAGGAACAGCTCTGATTCTTTACAGATATAGCCATGTCAGAAATAGGTGGCATGCATTCCTACATTTCTTCCATTTTGTTTGGTAAAAAAGTGTTTTGGGCAATGTTGTGTTTCCATTGCATTCTAGAGGTATGAGTGTTTAGTACGTAACTTTGAAAGTTCCTCCACTTTGGTAGCCAATAACCCCATTAAGTGATACACAAGACAATACACAACATGGAATGTAAAAGTCTTAGGTTTTCCAAAGCTAGTGCATAATCATGAAGAAAAAAACCTTTTTTTTCCCCTCATATTAATTAACTCTGTCATTTTATTTTAAAGCACTGTGCTTTACTTTGGCTGAGTTAACATGCCCCTTGGTATGTATATGATTGCTTTTACTAATAATTACTAGCAATTACATTTTCATGTTTGCAACAGAAGTTGTTAATTTGTCAGGTGAAACAAATCACCAACATTAGGATTTAGGAATGTGCAGCTGAGGCAGGGAAAGGGGGTCACTTATTACAGTGCTTGTCAGCTTTGAGTGCAGGGTGAAGGGGTATTTAAGAAAAGTGGCTGAACCTAACTGTGTTTTTTTTAGGTTTTTCCTTTTTAGTGTTTTTGAATTGCTGTTGTAGAGATATTGGAAGGTGAGTTTCTGCCTGTGTTTTCTTATTTATATGCACATCTATGATTTTTTTCTAGTTTCTTTTTGAACTTTAGATAATTTGCCTTATATGGCAGCTTGTTTTAGAGATTGCTGTCTTCAGAGTAAGGTACTTATTTTACTTGCATTAAAATTGCCTTCTAATATGTAGTGTATTGTCTTTGTCTACTGGACTGGGCCTTTATGTTGCATAGAGATACTGTAGGTAGTAATGAGCTCTCAAGATGAACAAACAGTTTTTCTATTGTATTTTTCTAAGGAAAATAAATTTCCTTGGGCACTGAGCCTCTAGTGGGTGTCCATGTTGTTATTTCATTGTTCTATATAGTTAAAAGTTATATTGCTGCACAGAGTTTCTTTCACTCTCTGCCTGATAATTCAAACGTGTATCACTCTGGCTATTTCTTTGGTTATAGCAAGAGGTAGAAATCTCTGTAAGGTTACTTGTTATTGATTATTTTGAAAGTTCAGGATCTTTTGATGTTGTTGCCCTCTTTTAAATCTCTTCCCTGTGAGTATAGATGACTGCTCTTARGTGCAGCTGATTTTCCTGGCCAACACTTTCCTGAGTGTGAGAAATGCTTATAGGCTGGTAATGTACATAGCGATCCTTTGTGCCTGTGTATATGTAAAATGCATATAGACAGCATATGGCTGGCTTTTCAGATGTATTTATTTTTTTTCTAATACTTAAATATGTGCAGCCAAAGGCATTTTTGTCGATTCTTAATTTAAATAGTTTGGCAGCTCATTGATGGATTTTAGTGAAATGCTAATACTAGATGGGTGAACTCTTTATGAAGAAGATCTGGGATAAAGTAGATAAGATTGTTATTAATGTTGTCTTTAATGTGTATTTTAATAATTCCTGTAGTGTYCTAGGTGCTGCTAGGTGAGGAGGGGAACACTTCTTGGTCCAAAGAGATTACAGGGCATGCCAAGCTGCAGGTGACAGTGAGAGTCCCATATAAAGAATTTAAAAATAAAAATGGTCATTTTTATGTGAATAGCAAGCTGTCATCAAAATGTGGAGGAAAAAATAATGAAAATAAGGAGGGAGTAATTCTGAAGTGTGTATGAAGTCTGCATTTTAGTAACTTAGTGGTAGCTTCTCTATATAGTTCCTTTGAGAGGAACCAYCCTTTAATAAAAACCTCTGTGCGTGCCTATGAATTTCTCTTAATAGTTGAATTGTTCACCAAATTCAAGCTGAGCTTCTGAAGCTGCACTGGGCTTAAAAGACTAAAAGAAATTTCTAGAGCTAGACCAAGCTTGCAGTTGAGTCAGTTTGTACTGTGTCAGTGTTTTGAAGTATGTTGCCAAAGGGTAGTGTTTAATCTAGCTTTAGGCCCCCAGAAACAAGATTCCTGTGGAGCCACAKCTTTAGCGTGTTGTAATCTTCCTGCTTTTCCAAATCCCTACACCTTCTGTCAGCTTCCACACTTATTTCCATGTTGAAAATTGCTTTCCAGCCATTTCTGCACCTGCCTTCAAACTTCTGTGCTAAATTGTTTGCATAATGTATGTGCGGTGGAATGATTTTTTGCTATCTAGAATGAAGTTACTAAGCAAACTAGTACCAACCAGAAGCTGCTGGGTCCTGGCACGTGAAGGCCAAGGGTCTACTGCTGTTCCTGATGGCTGTTGGCAGCTGCTATGGCACTAGCTACCACTCCAGAAGGGCACAGATTTTTCTCTGCTGCTCCACTATATGGGCCAGCCCTGCGTAGATAGGTGGTGTGAAATGTCTGTATTTAGGCACCTGAGAGTGTGCTCTGCTTCCAACCCTCTGCATCTCACTTGATCATAAGGTTGCATCATAAATGATCATAAATGATTTATCATAATTGTACACTTGATCATAAATGCATCTCACTTGATCATAAAGGTCGTTAGATGACCATCGTGGCTCAAATGGGTATATTTTAGGGAGCTCAAATCTAAGCTGTTATTCATGATATAAGAACTTTTTTCGTTCTTCCCTAAAAGTAATTCTGTATTTTTTGGCTTCAATTTTGGTGATGTTGCCCTCTAGGAAGCGGAGTATGTTCATGCTTTGTGTCATTCCTGTTGAAACTTAAAACACATTTACAGCATCAATGACTTCTCTTGTAAGGATCAGGTTTAAATCCTATAATTGGTGTCGTTTTATGAATTATTAAATGATGATTGTATTACTACATATTACAGCTGCTTACTGAGGAAGAAAAGGACCTGTTGATTGAAATTCTTCCTGACGTGCCACTTAGTAGGTGCCTGGATTCTCCTCCRTCCTGAGCTTTGCTTTTCAGAGACATCTCTGTTGCAGAGTTGCTTGCATATTATCTAGTGAATCAATTGTGCAGTGTCAGGCATGGAATACTAATCCCTGAAAGCTTGCAAATAAAATGGGATACAGCTACAGTTAGTAAAGCTTGCTTAAGAATAGATATGAAACTTATTTGCAAATACGAATGATATTGGTTGCACAAAGGTTGTTTTCTGTGTTCTGGAAAATGTATTACCTGGCAAATTCAAAGATGAAGTCTGTCTGCTTTCTTTTTGTTTCTTCCCCCCTCTAGCAAAGTTCAAGATACAGCTCACAGCTGATAGCTGTGTAGTTAGTTAGGGAGGAATGTTTCTTTTCCCTCAAATGTTGGATGCTTTTAAAGCCTGTATAAAATGGCTCTAGTTGTTCAGCACCTCTTCTGAAAATGCAGGTACTTTTTCACTAAACACAAGTCCCAGCAAAGGTTCTCTTTCCTTCTGACTTGTCTGATTTGTGCTGTGCATTAGTGGATTTAAAGGTKACGTTTAAGTCACCATGTATGAAAAACTGTTACCATAAAGAGGAAGGAAATGAGCTATAATTGCTATTAAGTGAAGAACAGAACCCTTGAAGGGCTGGGTATGAGGAGTTTGGTCAAGTTTATTTTTGAGTTTTGTGATGGAAATGTGCGCAGTGTTGGGCTGAACGTAGGGCAGGACAGTTCTTGCTGCCTGTTGGTTCAAGAAAGTGAATATCCTGTATTTATGGTACATTGGGCATCTTGTTACTGAATGATTTTGGGTTTTAAGTCACAAGATAACCGTAGCACTTTGTCATGTACAAACTATAAGATTTATATTAAAATGACATTTAGGATCAACAGTTGAATAAATTTAAGGAACTACAGTTGGTTAAAGAGAAGCAAGAATGAAATATTTTGTCACAGACTATAAGAAATCATGAAAAAGGAAGAGCTGAAGTGGGCATCTRTTGCGCATCACTGGACAGAAAAAGTGAGAACTAAAAAATTATTGGACTAACTGTAGAGGAGCTGGGAACTCCTCTATAGGGCACCATWGTGTAGGGTAATTGATTACAAAGCCCTCCTTGGGTGCCAAGAACAATGAGGCATGAGTCTCTCATCAAAAAGTTATATGCTTAGATAACCCACTGACCAAGGAAGCAGGGAATTTGGACAGACTTAGAGCTCCACTTGAGGTGATTTTTAAGTCTACAGAATACTAGAAGAGAAAAAGGAGGGGGGAAAAAAATTAAACTGACTAATGATTTGGCACATTTCCCATTAAAAAGCCTAAAAAAAAGTAAAAAAAGACTTAGTGGTAAAAAAGACTTAGACCCTAAGTGGACTTAGTGGAGTGTGAGGACAAGAACATGTGGAAATCTATATGATCGTACCCATACCTGCCTGGAAAATGTGTGTGGAGGAGGGAGAATGGTCGTTTAAAAAAAAAAAAAAAAAAAAAAACTTCTAAGCTGGTAAGTTGCAGAGCATGGAATATCACATGCCAAAAAAAAAGTGAGGATATAAGAATGAGGAAGCACATTTTCTCTACACTGAATGTGAAAAGTAAAGAAGTATTATATTATTAATTTCTGAATTGCAGAAATTGCTATTTCCAATCCCATTCTCAGAGTTCAGGAGAAATTTTCTTATAATATTTTCTCCAAAACTCCAAGTTAAAGAACCTGTGCCCAATATGAGGGAAGGAAGGTGAAGTAAAATATGCAGAAGCTTGTAAAACAAGGGTAAGAAAAGCAAACACTAATGAAGGCTCAGAACTGTGCAAAAGAAGTTAGGATACTTCTATAAGAAAATGTTTGTGGTGCTCGCATGTCTGAGTGCAGGTAAACTATAGATATAGCATAGCATCTATATAGCATATAGATCCTGGGATCTAAAGATTTATGGAAAGACATGGAGAATTGAGAAGGACCCAGTGGGTGGTGGTGGGGAAATGCTTATCAAAAGTGTGATCCTGAAAATGACAGCACTGTGTATAAGTTCACTTTCAAGTCTTCAACATCGTGAAACACACCTTTTGCAAGGTTTACTGGACAAAAAAAATTAAGAACCAAGAGCATCAGGCAAACATTTTAAAAAATCATTTAATGTAATTTMTTCTGACTAGTGTTTTAATTTCCTGCATTTCTTTATGTCGTTAGACCTTAATGAGGTATTCATGATAGCTGGAATGAATAAAATAGTAGATTGTCAAGTCCCATTGCAACCTAGATGGAAACTAGGTTGACTATCACAGGAATTGAAGGCTGGCTGAAAGACTATAAGCAAAAGGTAGTGATAAGCAGCAGCATATTGAGCTGCCATGTGAAAGGTGAGAGGTGTGTAGTGAGGTGTCACAGGAATCAATTTTATGTCTGATCTAATTTAACATTTTCATTAGTGATTAGCAAATGATGAAGCAAACATACTAATGAGCTCCTTCAGAGAAAGATGTCCTAGCAGGTGATACAGAGACGGATGAAGCTATCTGGAGAGCTAGAGAGGTTAAAATCTGGAAGGAAGAAAACTCAAACCAAAAACTACTTTATCTGAGAGGTCACGAACTTGTGTGTGTGTCCAGAGAAGGAGGGAAATGGGGGGGAGGGGGAATATTCAGACTTGTTAAACAGACATTCCAACATGGGATTGAGAGAGGGGAGGAAAAAAATATATGTTGGTTGTGATAAATAGGTGCTGTGCATTTGTGGGTCTG